GGATGGGATGGGACGGGATGGGACGAGATGGGACGAGATGGGCCAAGGTGAGATGGGATGGGACAGGATGAGGTGTGATGTGATGGGACCAGATAAGGTAGGATGGGAAGAGATGAGACAGGTTGGGATGGGACAAGACAGAACGGGATGAGACAAGACAGGATGGGATGAGGTGGGACAGGATAAGAGAAACCCCCTTTGGCTCCCGTTACCCCCAGCCATACTTCTTGGATGGTTTCCAGCAGGCACAAACAGTCACCAGGGTGACAAGGAGGAAGATGCCGCCCGTGGAGAGGATGATGTAGAGGGAGCTCCTGCCTGGGGGAGAGGAATGAGAGGGAATAACCCCCCCAGAATTTTAGCTGGTAGGATCTGCAAGGGATGGCCAGCTCCAGGGATGAGGGAGGGGAAAATGAGTGGCTTACGGTAGACAGTGAGCTTCACAGGGACGCTGCGGCCGTGGCTGATGGGGTTCTCCACCAGGCAGCTGTAGATGTCATCGTCAGCCATGAGGACACGGGTGATGGTGAGGATCTTCTGGTCAGGGGAGAGGAGCAGGCGGGAGTCATTGCTCAGCGGCCGGCCGTCCTTCAGCCAGGTGTAGGTGGGCTTGGTGCCGTTCTCGTGTGAGCAGTTGAGGGTGAAGAACTCACTGAGCTCCAGCACTGTTGAGGAGGCCACCAGCACTTGCGGCTTCGAGATGGGGACTGCGGGCGAATGGGGGAACTGTGGTGACACTGTGTTCTGGGGAGCGGATGGGCCCAGGGGATGGGAAGGGGGACATCAAAACCCACCCGGGGTATAACTTGGCTGCATGGGGTGGTTGAACCCCAAAAAACACCTCCAAGTTGGAGAAAGCCCTCCCAAAAAGTGTTCAGGGAAGACATCCCATGGAGAACCTGGTCTCCACTGGATGTCCTTGCACTCACTGTCCACGGTGAGGTTGATGGTCTTCTCGCCGGTGAAGGTGTCGTCGGTGATGGACACCTCCACCTCATAAGCACCTTCATCAGCCAGCTGCAAGGGGCTGATGAGCAACGAGC